TTTAAGAAAGTTTTAATTGAACCTACTTATTTCTTTCTCTCTCTCTTTCTTTTCTCTCCCTTTTCCCTCTTTATGTCTTTTTTATCCCTCTTCTTTCCTTTTTCTCGCTTTCTCTTTCTCTTTTTTCACTTCCTCTTCCCTTCTCTTTACTCTATCTCTCTCTTTTCTCTTGCCCTTCCTTTCTCACGTTTCTCTTTCTCTCTCTTTTTTCTTCCCTTTCTTTTCTCACTTTTCTCTTTCTCTCTCTTTTCTCTTCCTTTCCTTTCTATCTCTTTTCTTTCCTTTTTCCCTCTGTCTCTTTCTCTTTTCTCTGCCTCTTCTCTCTCTCTCTTTTCTCTGCCTCTTCTCTCTCTCTCTTTTCTCTGCCTCTTCTCTCTCTCTCTTTTCTCTGCCTCTTCTCTCTCTCTCTTTTCTCTGCCTCTTCTCTCTCTTTCTTTTCTCTGCCTCTTCTCTCTCTCTATCTCTCTCTTCTCTCTCTATCTCTCTCTTCTCACTTTTTTTTCCTCTCTCTTCTTTATCTCTTTTCTCCTCTCTCCTTTTTTAAATGTATCACATTTAAGATTTATAACAAAAATCGTTAAATATCGGTATTTGTAAAGATCTCATTACTCTTGTAGAGCACATTCTAAGTGAAATATTTAAAATATTCAAGTTTCGGTATGTATTTCTTTTAACCGATGCCATGTATAAAGATGTTATCTGTCCAAATTTCAATAAATTGGAAGAAAGAATGATATATTTATCATTACAAAATCCTCTTAAATTTAAATTCGAGATTGATGTGTGTGTTTCCGTATGCAACGATTTATTCTTTTCGTAATGATTTATTACGCATTCTTCTACTTAAAAATTGATGTAAATACTTCACACTTCTAAAAGATTTCATACATATGTTCACATATTACTTACACAGGATAAACCGAAAGTCAATTAATCGTGTTTTCAGTGTTACAACTATGAATTTTATGAAATTTGTGACTCTCGTACTTGGTAAGGAGATCGACTAAGACGACAGTTTACTTCTTACAAAGATTATCTGACTTTTGGGCCACCCCTTACACACTTATTTCGTTTCTTAAAGCATTAAAGGGGGGAAGAAAAGGTGATGTTGTAATTTAATCCTGATACATTTTAAAGATACTTTACTGTAATAAAAAGTCTCATAGGTTACTGGACATAAATCATTTTTATAAGCACATCAAACCCGGGTTATAAAACTTGTCTAAGAGTTGTTACCTTTTCTTAATTGGTAGTTTAGTAAAGTACAATAGACTCTTCTGTAATTCTTCTTCTTATATTATTGACTTTTACTTATTTCTAAAGCACGGAATCTTCATAAATAATTCATACAAAAGTCACCAGATACTCGACTTTCTTTTTTAACGAAGAATTTTTATATATAAATTTATCCAAAAGTCGATTAACCGAAGCTATTTTAAGTCTAGCTAAGGTTTTTCATTCCCATTATTTCGGTTCTTAAAAAAATAAAAATATACAACAAATACATCTTCGTTAACTGATTTTCTGGCCACTTTGTAAAGAAATTTTTATCTCTAATTTAAAAATAAATAAATTATATATGTATATATATATATAGAAGGGTGGACCAAAAGTCAGTTAACCAAGATACTGTATAGTCTATATAAACACACTTTAATGAGGGATTTGTAAGTTGTATACATAAATTAAATTATACTGTACATTTTCATGTACTGTACAGCTATTATGGAATATGCGAGCTGTAAATCCCTCATTAAAAATTGTTATAAGAAAATTATTTAAGAAAGTTTTAATTGAACCTACTTATTTCTTTCTCTCTCTCTTTCTTTTCTCTCCCTTTTCCCTCTTTATGTCTTTTTTATCCCTCTTCTTTCCTTTTTCTCGCTTTCTCTTTCTCTTTTTTCACTTCCTCTTCCCTTCTCTTTTCTCTATCTCTCTCTTTTCTCTTGCCCTTCCTTTCTCACGTTTCTCTTTCTCTCTCTTTTTTCTTCCCTTTCNGAGTTTGTTTACTGTATATATAAGCAGTAAGCTTAATACTTTTTTTGCAAAACTTTATTATTGTTCAAGAAAATAAATATTTTCTATAAAGTTTTCGTCATTATTTAGTTTTCTCTGACGAAGCTAATCCTGTTAAAAAGGGAGAAGGGGTGATAAAAAAAAAAAGGAAAGAAAGCAGGAAAAATATTTTCCTCAGGCAAGTTTATTGTCAAAACATTTGTTCTGCTTTATGATGAAAATCGATCAATTTGTATAAAGATGAAGAATAACCGTTGTGTTTATCAGGTATTTTTGTTTAAGAAATTCTCTTTTTTCAAGAAGTTATAAAGTATTTCTTTTTTCTTTAAGTTACTTAAAGGAATTTGCAGTATTCTCAGCTATAAACACAACGCATAAAACGTAGAGAATTCTTCTTAATAAACGTAATATTTCATTTAGATAACCTCTACTTACGTTATGGAATGTATAAGGCGCACGTTTACATCCTAAATTTATACAAAATACATGGGTTTTTTTACAGTAGATATAACATTAACAGGGGGGATCACTTTAGGGGAATGTATAAAGAGCACTTTTATATCTTAAATTTACACAAAATATAAGGTTTTTAATAGGGAACATAACCTGTATAAGGCGCACTTTTCTATCCTAAATTTACACAAAATAGAAGGTTTTTAACGGGGACATAACCTGTCAAATTTGATGTAGTCCAGACATTTCTGCGCCAAACTCGCTCTGCGAGTACTCATTTACAAGAGCTTCATTGTACCCTTCAACGGGCATCCATCAATGTCGTTTATACATTGATCGATGGCTTATTTTCAATAGTTTATTATTTTATTTCAATCCGATAGATAAAAACGAAATCTTCTACAAAATTGCTATATGACATCCTTTCGAATGTAAACATCGTTTGCCCGTTTATCGTAATTATAATCTGAATCTACAATGTATTGATCCATTCTTCGGGAGAATGAAATGTTGAACTTTACGAAAAATTGGTGTTAGAGTCTGGTGTTTTTCTATTTTTTTCACACGCAATTCAGACTTTCTGACAAAGAAAATTTCCAAAGTTATATTGCTAATTTTTTTTTCTTTATTTACAAAGTTTTATAATTTATTTTCTGGTATATAGAAAAATAAAAATGTAATAAAAGGTGATATTTCTCACTCTTCTTGCTTATTTTTATATATAAAATATTTATTTATTCGTCTTTTGCGGGGTCTAACAAAGCTTTTTTATTGATTGGTTCAGTCTGGACATAATGGGATCGGTCGGGTAGTAAAAGGGGGATGCAACGTATCTAGGCCTTTTTAAGCAGGACATACCGGTGGCCAAATGGATAAAATTATTCAACACTGATAGCTGGTTGCGGGTTTGCTCCTGAGTAATGGCCTGGTTACGTTTGTAACACTTAAATAAGGCCCGGTTTCTCATAAAAAGTCATCCTGGGATGTATCCCTACTTTGGCAGCACCTAAATAAGGGCCAGTTTCCCGTAGAAAGTTGTCTTGGGAGGCGTCCATTTGCTACTTCGGCAGATCGCTCTCGAGTCGCGCGTAACAACAACAACACTTACGGTACCCGAAGAATACTAAATTATTCTTCCATGTTATTTAAATCGAATATTTAAAAGTTTTCACTGTTTCTTAACATTTTTCCCCTCCCTTTTTTTAATGTACTGGGACCCAAGAAAGAAGATTTCCTATCCGAGAGGCCCTGCGAACAATCATAAAAAAAAATTCCGAGGATCCGAACTCGATCCCGGATCCCTCAAAAGACTCTTTCCTTCCTCGGCCATCTACGCTCTAATTTCGTTTTTATTTTACTATAAATTTTGTTTTAAAAACGCTTTCAGAATATTTTAAGAATTTAATTTCTGTTTTTCGTACGTTTTATTTACCCATTTTTCGAAGCAATTTTAAAACTTGGTTGCTTTTTTATGAGTTTGTATATAGCATATAAAAATCTTATCTGTATATATATTAAGAAAATATATAGCTCGTTTATAATTCTCCAGGACGTTTATTTTTACTTTTTTTCTTACTTCATCGGTTTAAAAATAAAATTTTAAAGTACTTTTTTAACTTGCGATATTGCATTAGAGGGCGCATCTAGACGGCTGGCAGCATAAATAAGCAAACCAATTAAATAGTTCGTTTTATATGAAACCGTATCTGTAATTGGCTGGCTTACTCCGCTGCTCGCCACCTAGAGGCGCCCCGAACTCCGCTACAATTATTTATAACGCAGCAAGATTCTTACGCTATTAATAACTTAAAAAGATAAATGGAACGTTTCAGTAGCTAATTTAAAATTATAAACACGTTCTTTTTCGGATTGAATAAATATTTTAATTAATGAATATCGTATTCTTATCGATCCTTAAAGTTATATGACTTATGTAACTGACGTCATTTATGGATAATTTATAAGAAAGATTTACCGGTAGAGTTGCGAGGATTGATAACTGGCGTCATTTATCGAAATTCGGCGTATATAAAAAAGTTTTCTCAATGTTAAATTTGCGTGTCTTATCGATAATTCATCACTTATATCAAATTTGTATCGATCGCATATTTTACGCGTATCAAAATATCTATATATTACTTCACCTGTCAATTTTTTTTTTACATTCGCAATCGGTTTGTTAACTCTTTTTACATATTTAATGCTTAAAACCAAGCTCTAATTAACTTTAAATCGGTCCCGAATGAAGAAGAACGGAGTTTGACCCGAACGGGAATCGAACCCGGAATCGCTTGATAGAAGCGTGGAATGCTTTAATTTCTTAATCATTAAATACTACTAAATTAAATTACATGTATATATACGCATATAGCGCTTAAAAACGGAGTTGTACTTAAGTTAAACAGAATTAAAAATGGCTCTGATGAAGAACCGAATCCGCGCTCCACACGGACAACTTTTTTTTATTTTTTATTGAATTAAATCCGTGTAAAGGAGTGAAAAAAAAAAGATAAATTTCGTTTCTTTTACAGTTTTAAGCGTAACAACTGTATATGCGAAAGTATGGGATAGAAAAATGCTAGATCTCTCCAGGCAGAGAAGATTGTCTTCGACTTCAATAGAAAATCGACCATCATGTATGCCCGACACGGTAAGGCGATACTCATTCTTCTCTTACGAAATTTAAAAGAATATTTTAAAAGATAGAAAAATTAGAAAATTTAATATAAAAAATTTGTCTTTAAAAAAATATATAAAAAAGAACTTTAAATCGAGTTTTATATCGCAGAAGTTAGCACTTTGTCGGGAATTTTATTGGAAGGCCATAAAGCGGAAAAGAGACGATATAAAAATAAAAATAAAAAAAATAAGAAAGAAAACCTTTTCTAGTAAAGGTTATTTCGTTTAAGAGAATAAATAACTGTAAGATGTTATAAGAAACCAGTAAAATCGATACATATATATCGGATTAAAGCACGGAAATAATCGTAAAGCCTTCTATATATACGGCTCAATAAGTTTCGGATTTAAAAATGTCAACTTTCCGAAAATNTTATCATAATAGGGATACAATCTGGCTACAGAGGGAATACATTTTTTAATTATCTAAATCTGAAGATATCACAATGATTTATTTTTTTTAAAGCATTTATATTAAATATTTAAATATAAATATAACTTAATTAAAATAAGATTAAAATGACATAATTAAAGTTTTAATTAATTTTAATTTGGTAAGTAATTACATTTCAGTTTTTAATTTTTCAACAGGTGGCGCCAAGCGGGCAAGTCAATACCACCGATCGTCTGCGCCGCCTGCGTTTTAGTATGAAAGAAAGGGGATATGCTGCTTATATTATAACTAATAACGACGAACATCAGGTGAATTTTTAATGAAACACTCTTTAATTAAGTATATAAATGCTATTAAATTAATTTATTTTCTACAAACTTGTAGATTTTGGTGATTATATTAAAAGAAAACTTTCCAGACAAGTAGAAGATGAGGTTAAAAAAAAACTAATTATTCACATATATTAAATGCATGCATAAACAAGGATATATATATATATACCTTGTCCCCCTGCCTCTTGCACACTACTTTATATACACTTTGCTTATTGACAGTGACACTGACATATAGGCAATGTTGACTTGCTGTTCTACAGGAAACCAAAATACTTCATGCAACAACGCTCTCTTGCTGTTCTACAGAGTTCCATAATACTATATAGTTCTGCCATGATACTGGGTGGCGAGCAGCGGACGTATCCGGGATGGTCCTCCCAAGGAAAACATGGGACCTGCACGAATCTGGGCAAGCTATCCTGCAAAAAATTTGAGGGATTGCTTGACCGGATTCGTGCGGATCCTTCGGGCGGTGGGATGTCGCTCTGACTCAACTGTTCGGTCGTTTACGGAGTAGAGCTGTAGAACGCTTTTTTCCGTTCCGTTCTGGTGCGGCAGTAGAATGAATAGCCATTCGTTTTAATGTCGCACGTTTTAAACATTAAAGAGTATGATTTAACACTTCTTATCAGGAAAATTTATTTAAAGTAATGCAAACATTGAGCGGTACGGCTAAAAATTTCTACCATTGGTGTGTAGTATACTACTTTGTCTACTCGCACTGAACACAAATAAGTGCCTTGAAAACGTGCACTATCTCAAATGTATTATCCACTTATAAAGTATTGTAAATATGCAAATTTTAAAATAATGATTGACATTGTGATCATAGATAATATAGATCCTGTAGGGTCGATGAAAGTTAGAGAGGGGTCAATAAACTGCAAATGTGAAAAACTTTTTTTAATTGCATTTGCATATTATATATATATATAATACAGTGATTCTCAACCACTGTGCCTTGACACTTTAGTGTGCCACAAGATTATTGAAATGTATCACCACTGCAAATACTCAAGTAACATCAGACAAGTAGTTCAATTGGTTCTACCTTCAATCAGTGCTTTTGGAAATTGTAATCAGTGTCACCAGTAACTGCCAGTAGTAACCAAAGTGTTTAAAAAATATGATCTAAATAAACAACTGTGTTTAAAAATTATTGTTATGACGTCCTGTGGTACTTACTGAAGTAATCGTGTGCGCTGCCAAATTTCCACATTATTAAAAGTGTACTGTGACAAAAAAATTTTGAGAATCACTGATATAATAGAATATATAATAAATTACAAAATATGATTAATTATTATTAGCGAGGTTGAAGCCAAAGTTTTAAATGAGAAAACGTGTACGTCGGACATTCAGCACCACTTTCCTGTAAGCCTAGAAGTTTGATAATGGTGTTTGGATAGTCAGTGGAATCATGCTCAACATTCCAAACACCATTGTCAAACTTCTAGGCTTACAGGAAAGCGGCACTGAATGTCTGATGTACACGTTTTTGTATTTAAAACTTTGGCCTCAACCTCGCTATTATTCATTATGAATATGATTACAGAACTAATATATGAAAATATTTTGTTTCAGAGTGAAATTTTAGCAGATTATGATAAAAGACTACAGTATATTAGTGGATTTTCTGGTTCAGATGGTAAAATTTAATAATGTTCTATAAAATATGTATTTTATCATTGAAATGATAGAAATATTAATTTCTTATTGTAAACTTTAACATAGGAGTGGCTGTGGTTTTAGATGACAAAGCTCTGTTGTGGGTGGATGGAAGATATTTATTGCAAGCTGATTTTCAACTGGATTGCAATTGGTTTGTGGGAGAACATGAAGAATCTTTTATTGGCTGGCTGAAAGAAAATTTACCTGAAGGATCCAGAATTGGAATTGATCGACGTTTAATTACTTGGGAAGAGGTACCCTATATTATTTGTTATTTAATTTAATTCTTTATCATAATAGGGATACAATCTGGCTACAGAGGGAATACATTTTTTAATTATCTAAATCTGAAGATATCACAATGATTTATTTTTTTTAAAGCATTTAGCTTAAATGAACATAAAATAACAGACAATAGCTTTTTTTATTTCAACATAAGTTCCATTAATTACTTTTAATAAATNTATCTGTATATATATTAAGAAAATATATAGCTCGTTTATAATTCTCCAGGACGTTTATTTTTACTTTTTTTCTTACTTCATCGGTTTAAAAATAAAATTTTAAAGTACTTTTTTAACTTGCGATATTGCATTAGAGGGCGCATCTAGACGGCTGGCAGCATAAATAAGCAAACCAATTAAATAGTTCGTTTTATATGAAACCGTATCTGTAATTGGCTGGCTTACTCCGCTGCTCGCCACCTAGAGGCGCCCCGAACTCCGCTACAATTATTTATAACGCAGCAAGATTCTTACGCTATTAATAACTTAAAAAGATAAATGGAACGTTTCAGTAGCTAATTTAAAATTATAAACACGTTCTTTTTCGGATTGAATAAATATTTTAATTAATGAATATCGTATTCTTATCGATCCTTAAAGTTATATGACTTATGTAACTGACGTCATTTATGGATAATTTATAAGAAAGATTTACCGGTAGAGTTGCGAGGATTGATAACTGGCGTCATTTATCGAAATTCGGCGTATATAAAAAAGTTTTCTCAATGTTAAATTTGCGTGTCTTATCGATAATTCATCACTTATATCAAATTTGTATCGATCGCATATTTTACGCGTATCAAAATATCTATATATTACTTCACCTGTCAATTTTTTTTTTACATTCGCAATCGGTTTGTTAACTCTTTTTACATATTTAATGCTTAAAACCAAGCTCTAATTAACTTTAAATCGGTCCCGAATGAAGAAGAACGGAGTTTGACCCGAACGGGAATCGAACCCGGAATCGCTTGATAGAAGCGTGGAATGCTTTAATTTCTTAATCATTAAATACTACTAAATTAAATTACATGTATATATACGCATATAGCGCTTAAAAACGGAGTTGTACTTAAGTTAAACAGAATTAAAAATGGCTCTGATGAAGAACCGAATCCGCGCTCCACACGGACAACTTTTTTTTATTTTTTATTGAATTAAATCCGTGTAAAGGAGTGAAAAAAAAAAGACAAATTTCGTTTCTTTTACAGTTTTAAGCGTAACAACTGTATATGCGAAAGTATGGGATAGAAAAATGCTAGATCTCTCCAGGCAGAGAAGATTGTCTTCGACTTCAATAGAAAATCGACCATCATGTATGCCCGACACGGTAAGGCGATACTCATTCTTCTCTTACGAAATTTAAAAGAATATTTTAAAATAAAATTATATATATTTTCATAAATTTATTTTTTAGTTTGTTACTTTGAAAAAGAGTATGCCAGTAGGTTATTAAACACTTTTAAAATTCATTTATTTGCTTCTAAACTGAAGATTCTAAATATATAGTTTTTAGGATTAAGCTAATGTAACGAGATTGAAATCATTTAGTACTTTTTTATTAATTATGAATTATTCAATGAATATTTTTATACAAATTATACTATCAATATTCTATCTGGATAGCAAATTACAGTCATATATAAATTCTATCAAGATAATTTACATCCATATTTCTTTATCATATTACTCAAAACCAAAAGAAATTATCAAAAATATTATTTGAATCTTTTGTCATATATATATATAAAGTAAGTAATACTCTTAAATAATTTTATCCAGTTATGTTTTTATTAGAGAATCTTATGGCAAGTTGATATCTATAAATATGCAGTTTCCTTGAATTTTTAAAAGCTTTCAGTTATCATATATATATATATATTGCATTACTCAGTTTATACCAATAATTGTGTTTCTATACTTACTACCAAATAGTTTAGATAATAGTAATAAATTTAGCTATACACAAATAATTTTTTGTTTATATTTCAAAATAATGATCTTTGCTATCAGTGAATTGTTTATTCTAAGATAAATGATTTAGTAACTTTCAGCAGTTGGATATGACATATTGACAGTTTAATATTAATTTGATTTAATGATTTTATTTTGATAATATAAACTCATGCAATTTTATTGGATTTCTTTCCCCATAAAATTGTAAATATTAATAAATTTTTCTTTTAAATTGAAGAATGTCATTTGAATTTTAATTTATTTAGTGGGAGAGGTGGCATTATGAATTAAATGAAAAAAAAATGAGATTAATTGGAGAACAGACGAATTTAATAGATGCTATTTGGACTATAGCACAAGGAAGACCTTATGAAGTGGTTGAAACAATTTTCATCCATGACTTAAAATTTGCTGGTATGTTCTTAATTGTATATGTAAACAAAAGATAATTTTTTTATTTCTTAGAAAATTATTTACAGTTAAAAATACAGTAACTCTTGATTTAACAGACTACTATTAGTTCCCCATTACTCCATTAAATTGGAATCCACTATTGCCAAAAATCTGTTAAATTGAATATATTTTAATAACATTATTGTTAATTGTCTACTTGGACTTTACTTATTAATAGGACTTAATACTGGTGTTTAAAGATTGACACAGCAATGAGAGTATTACTACTATTACTACAGGTGATATAATAAAGAAATTTTGTTCTTTCCTGAACTAACTCTCATTGCTGTGTCAATCTTTAAACACCAGTATTTCAGAAACTATTACTACAGGTGATATAATAAAGAAATTTTGTTCTTTCCTGAACTAACTCTCATTGCTGTGTCAATCTTTAAACACCAGTATTAAGTCCTATTAATAAGTAAAGTCCAAGTAGACAATTAACAATAACATTAGAATTTAAAAGGACAGTAAGGCTTTTACAATTAAATATTTTAATAACATTTATCAATAACAAACTTAAAATGTGCAAGATGTGTTAAAATTTTGTTGTAATGTGGATAATATCGATAAAATTATAACAATGTACATTAAGTAATTTATATGAAAAATCATTGATCCAACCTTTCAGCATGCTCTATTTGTGAATAAAAAAGTTTTAAATTTTTCTTCTGAGACTAAAATAAATTTTTGTTCATTAAATCAATGATCTACTGTATATAGAAATGTCATGTCTTTTTATAAATTATTTAAGTAAATATATAAATGTAGGTTTATGAATTAACTTCACATTATACAAAAATCAAATGATGATTGATTATTAACTAAATTATTACATTTATTATATTTCATAAACTAGCAGACCCCGCCACGTGTTGTTGTGGCTCAAAATGTATCTATTATAAATGTATAACGCTTCCCCCGTGGGGGGAATTTTTCGAAAAATCCCTTAGTGTACATTTTCTTGACGTACCCTATTAAAACACAATCAAAAACGCAAAAATCTGCATCTGAAATAGTATAATAGAAGCCAAGTTCTTCATGGTAAGCCTTAATCCTGTCTCTCTCCCCCGCAGGGAGAATATTGAAAAATCCCTTTGTAGTGTATATTCTGTTGATGTACCCTATTAAAACGCAATCAAAAACGCAAAAAACTGCATCTAAAATAGTATAAATAGAAGTGGAATTCTTTACAGTAAGCCTTAATCCTAACCATCTCCCTTCAGTGGGAGAATTTCGACACGTATATTATATAAAAACACGTGCGTATTCGATTGCTGCGTTGTGTCAAAATTTTAAAGGAATCGGTAGGAACAAACGAACGTTACATTTTTATTTATATAGATAGATAGATGATGATCTGCTTTAGTTCATTTTCACAGAAAAGCAAACTTAGGGTGTCATACTCGTAGCGCCATCTGTTGACATAAAAGCCTTAACCTAGATTATATATTTTAATTTATATGAATGTTTAATGGAATAATATACAGCCCATGTCCACCCTGAAGTTCCATTCTAAATATTGTTGAAAGAATTTTTGAAATCGGATGAGTAGTTTCGGAGATTACCTGCTGCAAACAAACTTACAAACATTATCTCTTTATAATATTAGTATAGATTAAAATTTTTAAATAAATAAATTATATTTAGTAAAACAATAAATAGTTGAAATAAATTAATGAATTCATGTAAACATTATTACACATTAACATATTTTATTAATAAAGAATTTAACATTTAATATTTTTTTAGACAAGCTTTTTAAAATATTAGAAGACGAATTTTTAGAATTATTTATTGGATGACATTAAAAAAATAATAGAACAACATTAACAAAAGTCTTTTATTTACAAATTTAACTCAACAATATTGATTTTTCAATATAGTTATAATGTTTGTGTTGGAAAATTCAGTTTAAATGATTCATGAAATATAATAGTAGAATTATTTAATATGCTCAATTTGAATAACTTTATTCTTTTTAATGGTTAATCCATTTTTACTTTTAAAAAATAAGATATGAAGTTATGTTAACTTTTATTATTAAAGTATTCAAGTATTTCTCAGATTGAAATAATTCTAATTTCTAGGTAAAAGCTGGGAAGAAAAAATTCAGGATTTAAGAAATATTCTTCTTAAACAAAACATTGATGGAATGATCGTTACTGAATTGGATGAAATTGCATGTAAATTTTTCTTTTATAAAATGCTTTGTTTTAATACACACACAACATCTAATGATGAAATTTACAAAATTCGTAATATTTGTAATTTGTTTAAACATGTAAAAATATAATAAATATTATTTTATTAAAAAATTACTTTTAAAATAATATTTTATATTTTTTTTAGGGTTGTTTAATCTAAGAGGCTCAGATATATATGGAAGCCCACTATTTAAATCTTTTGCATTTATATCACAAGAACACATTAGGTAAATATATATTTATTTGTTTTTTAAGAATTAATATTTTAAAATAAAATTATATATATTTTCATAAATTTATTTTTTAGTTTGTTACTTTGAAAAAGAGTATGCCAGTAGGTTATTAAACACTTTTAAAATTCATTTATTTGCTTCTAAACTGAAGATTCTAAATATATAGTTTTTAGGATTAAGCTAATGTAATGAGATTGAAATCATTTAGTACTTTTTTATTAATTATGAATTATTCAATGAATATTTTTATACAAATTATACTATCAATATTCTATCTGGATAGCAAATTACAGTCATATATAAATTCTCTCAAGATAATTTACATCCATATTTCTTTATCATATTACTCAAAACCAAAAGAAATTATCAAAAATATTATTTGAATCTTTTGTCATATATATATATAAAGTAAGTAATACTCTTAAATAATTTTATCCAGTTATGTTTTTATTAGAGAATCTTATGGCAAGTTGATATCTATAAATATGCAGTTTCCTTGAATTTTTAAAAGCTTTCAGTTATCATATATATATATATATTGCATTACTCAGTTTATACCAATAATTGTGTTTCTATACTTACTACCAAATAGTTTAGATAATAGTAATAAATTTAGCTATACACAAATAATTTTTTGTTTATATTTCAAAATAATGATCTTTGCTATCAGTGAATTGTTTATTCTAAGATAAATGATTTAGTAACTTTCAGCAGTTGGATATGACATATTGACAGTTTAATATTAATTTGATTTAATGATTTTATTTTGATAATATAAACTCATGCAATTTTATTGGATTTCTTTCCCCATAAAATTGTAAATATTAATAAATTTTTCTTTTAAATTGAAGAATGTCAGTTATACCCAAAAAATAATTAATATTAGTTTATTTCAAATTATAGATTAGACAAAAGTAACAAAGAGCAAGTTTAACAAAAGTAACATTACATTAAAACAATCCAGATACCATAATTGGCTCCACTGCTAATTTTTTTCCTTGTATTTTGACTTTGAATACAAATATTTAAATATAGAACTCTGTTTATTTGGGCTTTGCTTTTGTGTTTACATACTTAAAAAATTGGAATTTCATTCATTATTTTATTCTGTTTTAAATAAAGTTTTATTATTATTATTATTATTATTGTAATTACTATACATTATGGATCTAATTTATGGGCTGATTATAAATTTATTATAAACATATTATAGTTTAATAATGAGTAAAGTGAATTTTGGAAAATACAGACAACATAATTTACTGAGATTAGAAATTATCTAATGTAATAAAACATTTTACTTATTTGTGAAATTAATTTTTATTTTATTAATATAAACGTTTGAATTTAAATAAATATTCAAGCTTATCATTTAAGGAAATGAGTTTTAATGCAATTACAATGGTCAAATAAATTATTTGATTGTTTCCTCAAGTTCTTGGCCTGAAACATTTAAAACATTTTACTTGTTTATAGCATTATTTAGCACTTTTTAGCAACAAATATTGAAAAATTAATCTGTTTTGTTATATGATTTGCATGAGTTTATATATATATATTGGTAACTGATCATTGTGTAATGTACTGTATAGTATACTGTGCATATCACTATTATATTACAGCTGTCCCTTGATAGNCATTATTTAGCACTTTTTAGCAACAAATATTGAAAAATTAATCTGTTTTGTTATATGATTTGCATGAGTTTATATATATATATTGGTAACTGATCATTGTGTAATGTACTGTATAGTATACTGTGCATATCACTATTATATTACAGCTGTCCCTTGATAGTCTGACATTTTGTAATCCGACATGTTCAGTAGTCCGACGCACCTCCCGTCAAGGTACCCATCCTCGTTACATGTCTGCTTGCACGGAAGCATGTTGCGACGTGAATCTCCCCACCCAATTCTTACACAATGACACATATTTCGTATGTTTTCCGTGAGCAGTTCTGTTCGAACAGTTGGAGTAGGAATATTGTAGGCTACTGTTAGCAAAACAATGCCAAATATGTAATCACTTTTGGTAATCCGACACCTCTTTGGTCCCATACCTGTCGGATTATCAAGGGACAGCTGTATTCTTTTTTTGTAGTGATATTTATTTATAATAAAATCAGAAATATTAAATAAGAATAAATTAAGAAAATGATTTTAAAAATAATAATAAAAAAGGAAAATAGAATAATTTTGTTTAGGATTAAGAAATTTATTATAATTTAAGATTGGTAATAAATCTCAGTAATAAAGAAATGTTTATTTTTTCCAAGGATAATATCAAATTTACAAGTGAAAAATATATCTGAATAGAGTTAAGAGATAAATTCAACTAAAAATTTAGGGTTTATTTTTCTTCTGTTGAATAAAACTGTACATTTAAAAGGAAGCTAAAGTTTAAAAAAATTAGAAATAATATAGAAAAGAAAATTAAATTTTATTTGAAATATCTGTGAAAAAAGCTGAAAAATTGAATCAAAATTTGATGCTTTGTTGTGTATAAATATATAATAAAATTAAATAAAAGTGAAAATAAATGTATAAAATCACACAATTTTAATAGTAAATTGAGATATAATTTAGTGCATTTATGGAAAGAATTTCGTTATTGATTGTAGTTAGTTTTAAATTTAAACGAAATTATTATAATTTTAATAAAAAAGTTATAATTTTGTATACTTTTTTTTTTTATATTTCATAATTTGTTTCAGACTTTATGTGAATTTAGGAAAAGTAACATGGGAAGTCAAAAATCATCTGAAAAGTGAAAATTGCAATAATAATGATTGTGTTCAGGTAAATAATAATAATTTAAACTTGATTTTAAGAGACTTGTACATATTTGTAAATTTATTATTACACAGAATGTCAATTATTTTTAAGTATTACTTTGATAGTATCTATTATCTAATTAATCTTGAAGCAGATAATAAATTGAATAATTTGTAAACTGTACATTGAACATTAAATTATGAGTATGATGTCTGCATGTATTCATATATGTGGTAGCAAACATCAAACTATATAAAAACATTTCTTTACATGGCTGTCTATTTAGTTTAATATTACATTAATCTTTAAATACTGCAAAACTGAATCTCTTATCTGATTATTTCTTTGCTAATAGTAAAATTTTCTAGTTGTTAAAGTGTAAAAACTCTTATTTCTAGTTTTCCAGGAATATAAGTTTTACCAAGGACTCTAGGTAATGACAATTTTAATGTCATTATTACTTTCTAATGCATATATTAACAGATTAAAGATTAAGGTAAAGATCCATTGGTGTATCGTAATTGTTCCTTATTTACTCTTAATTCAATAAAAAGAAAAATAAAACATTTCTTAAAGCATTTATTTACAACAATCTTAAAACATTTATTTAATATTCTGCATAGAAGTTCTTTTAGACAAAGGTGCCAAAATACACAAATAATCATTATATAGAAAATACAATCAGAAACTTCGGTAACTCACTATAATAAGAAAACATCATGTTTATGGTTATTTGTGATGACTTGTTTCTAAAATAAATGGATTTTTATTTAATCTAACATCATGTCATTAAGTTCATGCGATTACTGAATATTTATTTTAAAAAGATAACTTAAATATACAATATATATATTTTATATAACATATGATTTTACTTTTCTAATATCACATCATGTGAAAAACTCTTTCGTCTTGATATTTCTTTTAAGGAATAAATCTTATTTATTCCTTAAAAGAAATATCACAATACTCTGAAATAGACTTTGATATCCACCACCAATTAGTGATAAACTCAAATATAAAAATAAAATTCTAAATTAGAAATTTAGTGTAATTTCTAGCTTTTGCATGAGATGTTTTTGAATTTCTCTTTTGTTTCATTTTTTGCTGATTCTCTGTGTAACAGGAAACGTGAACATTTATTTAATGAATTTTATTATTCAATTGCATTAAATTTTTGGTCTCTACGATGATAAAATCAAGAACCAACTACTGTTAGATTTTAGTTAGAAGTTAATTAGTTCAGAACATAATTTAGCCTAAAGATAGACAATGTTAACATTTCATGTGTATTTTAATGATTACTGTATATATTTTTGATATTAATATATTTGTACATTTTATCAATACATTACATTGTCAAAAATTAAACAATAATGATGATAATAAGATCCTATTGCTTTTGTGATAAAATGCCATGTATATTATATTGTTAATTGATGAAGCGAAAAGTATTTTGAATACAAAACACTAAAAATATAAACATAAATGCCAACACTTCACATTATTCACCATAGATTCATTAAATACATAGTGGTTTAATTACAATATTCATAACTCCTTTTTTATTTATACATAAAATAAAGTAAGTTATTGGCAATCCAAATTACTGCAATGTTTGATGTGACGTTTTCAAATTATGTAATGTTGTGCTTGCATAATATTGTTTAATACTACTAAAAATTATTTTAAAACTATTATATTTAATAAAAAATTAATATTTTAAATTAAATTTCCATTTTAGTTCTTGTTCAGTTTTATGGATAAATAAATTTTTGTACTTTAATTTTTTAAGTGCTTAGGCATATTTTAGATTTTTAATAAACATATTAATGTAAAATTAATTTTTTATTTAATAAATTTTTACTTAACAGTTTCAAGGAAATTTTATAAAACAATTTATGAAAACACTTTCACGAATGAAGAAATTATATCTGTAAAAATTTGTTTTTATCATTATTATAACATTACTGTTTTCTCACATTGATATTCCTCCAACTATTCAAATTAATAAAAGAATACAGTAGAACGTCGTTTATCCGAATCAATTGGGGACTGGGGTTGTTCGGATAACTTATTTTTCGGATAACCGATTATGTACGAAAAAATATATTAACCTATCCCATGTTGAAATTTTTCCCCGTTGTGTGTCGCTTTGCGTTGAATTTTCGTCTATGTTAATCCTAATGTAAACTTTTTAAAATAATAATCGTGGCTATTGTATCATTAAAAATTATTTTTTTAGTTTGTACAAACAAAATAAATTTATTGAAAAATAAAAACAAAAAAAATTATACTTTAGAAGTTAATCTAGTATCAAAAGCGTTCGATTCAGTCCTGGGAAAAACACCACACAAAAGTATCAGTGCTGCTAGCTAAAACACACACATCAACAAAAAAAATATTGGAGTAGCCCAAGATGTAGCCAGAGATTGCAGCGCCACAGCACTAGTAAAAATTTAAATTTGCCGACTGGAATTCTTTCGGATAAACGACGCTCTACTGTAATCACAAATCTGAATATACCTTAAAAATTTATGCAACACTAAAAACCCATATTAATTTCTTAAAATTACATTTTGAACGCAAAAATTTATTATTAAGTTGCATTTATTCTTTATATACTATTGATTAAAGTGCTTTCTCTATTTTAAAAGTAAGTTAGAATAAGAAGAAACTCTGCAATATATGTTAATGACTATATGAGAACTAATTAATTATTTAAAATAATTTTTATTGTGAACATAAAAGGAAGAACTAAAAAGTATTTGGAACAGATAGATATATTCTTTACTTACAGAATTTTTCATCTAGTCTTAAGAATAAAATGGAAATTTTGTTTATGACACTGTTGTACTGTGGCATTTGTTTGGATTTGCAGTGTTGTTAAATTTTGTTTTCTTTTCTCTTGACTGGAAAATTTATCTTTCTTTTTATTTATGTGATTTCCTGTAAGCTTTTTTCATCGTATTTTATAGAAAAATTTGCAAAGTCCACAAATTTGTTCTCTTCAAATGACAATAAAGGTTCATTTCAGCAAAAGAATCTGCAGTGTTACTGCATACAGACTATTCCTTCATTGAAAACATCAAAACACATTTAACTTCCCATTTAGTTATTTCCATTTCAGAAATAGTACTGGTCAATGAATAAAACAATTGAATTATTTAGAAGACGATTGAAATAATCGTGTTCAACTAACTAAGAAGTGTTTTTACCATTTAATTGGTTATTGTGTATTCACCCAAATTACAGTAATTTATTTCTTCCAATATAAAACTTAATGACATGTTAATATTTCTTAAATACTTTCAAAATATTATTTCCCATCTACTTTCAATTTTGCTTTGAAATATAATTATTCTCTCTTGAAATACATCACTTTAAACAGTTTTGTTATAGATTGCTCTACTAAACATTACTTTTTTCATTATTTGAGAGAAATTTTTTAATATTTGTGAATATTTCTGTAAAATATAATAGAAAAAGTTTGTACAAGATACATAAATAAAACAAAATTGATTTCATTAGGAGAGGATCAAAAAAAGCCAACTCAGAAGCAATTATTCAATAAACGTAATCACCAAATAACAAAGCCACATACAGTATTTGAAACTGTTCAATATTTCTATTGTTGAATTTGCCATTTTATACTTTATACCAACGTAGTTTAGTTTTTCCCATGATTTTCCTTCAAGAAAAACAAATATTGGCTCTCAAAATTTCCTTTTTCTGGTCCATATTTATGAAATTACTAGCAGCCTGGCATTTCTAAGGCAAAGAGTAATAAGAACAAACATTAGAATTAAAACCATATTACAAGTTTAGTTATTTTAGCCTGGGCAGTGCTTGGTATATCTGATAGTGTAATGTAATAACAAGTTCAATCTTTCATCTGCATAAATTTCTTGGGAAAATACATTTAGATTTGATGTTGTTGACAAAAAATGTAGTAACAATATTTAGCATTATCTGTCATATTCCATTTTATTTACAACAGTTGGAATTGGAAAAATGCCAATTCTTCAAAGAACTGAATGCATTATTTTAAATTAATCCTGTTTTCGAACTGTGTTGTTATCAAACATGACATTTCTAATTATGAAACAGTAAAACCAGTTTGTATTTATCATATGTGATATTTCAACAACATATTAAAATTGTATATTAGTTAGTTTATTATTGTTGTTTTCAATGATTAATAAAATTAATGTTTTACACTGATGTTTTAAATTTCATTTATATATGTACAGGATCTTCAAAAACATATGCTATAATTTTAAATTACTGTAATTATGTTAATTATTACTTTAAAACAACTTAATATATTTCAAAACAGAAAAATTATCAACTAGCTCTACTAGCTATTTCCTCAATTGAATCAAGACTCTGATTACTGCAACTTCCAGCAAGATTGGGTTCTGCCTTGTTTTCACAAGGAGGAACCCAATCTTGGAGGAGAGTTCATGAACTTTTGAATAGGATGATGGGATGCCCTGGGCCCAATGACAAACCCTTCTGGCCACCCAGGTTCCTGGACACAATACCCTAAGATTTCTTCTTATGGGGCTATGTGCCACTATTGTCCAGGAATTTGCAAGAGTGGCAGAATTGAATTTTTATTGCTTTGGGAGGAGTAACAATAGCTGTGTTGCAGTGAATCTGGAAGAAATTGAGTATCAGCTGGATGCGTGTCATGTGATGCAAGGTGCACATATTGAGGGATTGTAAGGAATAGTATGAACTTGGAGAGATTTTCTATGTTTTGAAATATATTAAATCATTTTCAGATAATAGTTAACATAACTACAACAATTTTAAAATGGTAGCATTCTTTCTGGAAGATCCTATATGTATGTATGTATATGTAACATATTTTAACAGTTAACAGCTACATTTTAAATATATTGATCAGATTATGAGATAAAAACATTATCTTAATAAAAGTAAATAATATATAATTAATATATAAAGTATTTTTATATATTGTCATAGCAAAAATCTTCATATAAATTTTTTTAATAGCTTCGAGCCTACAATTATGTTTACACTGACCTGCATAACCTCTTAAAATCCATTGAAAGTGTGCTAATATCATATTCTGTCAGCTTTTCTATATACAACCTCATACCAAAGGTGAGTTATGATTAAAATAATGCAATACTTAAAAATAACAAAATATCAATATATATTGCCTACATAACATGACATGACATATTTATTGACAGATCAAATTGTATGTTCTGTGACAGAATAAACTTCGAGCAAGACAATCACCCATAATAGCAATGAAAGCCATAAAAAATCCAACTGAAATTAAAGGCATGAAGAATGCTCATGTATGTATATTTCCTTAAGATAAAATAAGAAAATTTTACTTTTATTCTCACAATTTATATACATTATTTTTAGATACGTGATGCAGTTGCCATTATTGATTTTCTGGCATTATTAGAAGAAGAAGTAAAAGCAGGGAAGCACTGGGATGAAATGAGTGCAGCCAAAATGTTAGCAAAGTTTAGAAAGTAATTGGGGTTTGTTTTTATTTTTTATTCCTTTATCATTATTTAAATTTTAATCAAATATATTTGATATTTCTTTTTCTTTTAAGAGAACAAGAATACTATAAAGGAAATAGCTTTGAGACCATCTCTGCTTTTGGACCAAATTCAGCTATTGTGCATTATGAACCATTGCCAAGTACAAATAAAACAATCGACACAAGAAATGTTTATCTGCTGGACTCAGGAGGGCAATACCTGTATGAAATAGGTTACTATATGAAATTAATTTACAAAAAGTTAAATTTTAAATAAAATTTACCACATATTTTATTAAGAATCCTAATTGCAAAAATATTGAAACTTAAATTTTTATTAATAAAATGTTTTTAAAAATACTTGCATCTTTTTAGAGATGGAACAACTGATATTACTCGAACGGTCCATTTTGGCAAACCAGATAACTTTGTAAAAGTATGCCTATTAACTTCATATAAATTGTATTTTATAAATATGCATATTAATTAATCTTTTTAATTAATAGGAAGTATATACACGCATTTTAATGGGTGTCATTGACGTCATGACAGCAGTTTTGCCAAGCAAGGCTGGTTAGAAAGTTTTACTGTTTTTAATTAAATTTTATTTTAATTCTTTGAATTAATTATAGCCTTTCAGGTGTCAATGTTGAATCTTTTGCAAGAAGATACCTATATCAAAAAGGATTAAATTATGCTCATAGTACTACACACGGAATAGGCTCATTTTTAAATGTTCACGAGAGTAAGAATTTTCAAGTTATATAAGAATAATTTCAAAATATAATTTTGAATATTAATGCACATTAATCCTTCTAGTTACATGAATTCACTTTAATGCAGTTGAAAAATTTTAAACAATTAACTTTATGGAAATTGTAGCTATGTCAAAATGTGTGTTTTTTGTATCAGTAACTTCTTACATAGATGTGTACAGTATTTAGAAAATAGCTTTAAACTTTTCTATCTCAGTAAGAATAAAATACTGTATTTGAGAATACGGAACGGATCCCTATTTTAAACTTCTTTCCATGACTCCATCTACACACTGTTCATGGAACCAATTACTCATGTAAATGGAGGATTACTGTATTATTTGAATATATCTAAATTGTGTTAATATTAAATTTTTTTTTCCAGATCTAGTTTTTGAACCTGGTGCCTTTTTATCAAATGGTAAAAATAATCTTTCTTTTAAGTTTCTTTGATTAAATTAAAATATAATAAACATTTAATTTTTTTAATATATCAGAACCAGGATATTATGAAGGAGGGAAATTTGGAATAAGACTTGAAACCACGATGATGGTTAAAGAAATGCCAAAACAGGTTTGATTAATTTTTTTTTCTATTTTTACATTACAATAATTTTAAAGAACATTCAAAACTTTTTTGTTAACAGACTTTTGAGCCATCCTGTATAATCATATATAATAATAACCTGTCAAATTTAACAGATTACAAAATTTAATAATTTAAAAAAAATTAAACTTATAATTAATGTTTAAATTTATTAGTTGAATGATATTTATTTGTTATTGAATGATTATTCTAGGTTATGAGTAATCCAAAAACACTAGTCATTTCAATGTAAATTGAAATTGATAAAACAGCTTTTAAATATTTAAATTCTTAGAAAAATAGGAAATGCAAACATTATCTAATTTAATTTTAAAAATGTACAACAAAGATGATAATGAATCAGGAAATTCTTAATATGGATATCAATATTGGATATAAAACATTTCAGAACAAAATATTATTAAAAATTAAGATAAATCCATCATAAAACAATATCTTTTTTATTCACTTTTATTCCCATAAACTAAACTAAAATGATAATGATCTTCCATCTATCAAATTTAAAAACGATTTTTATTAGCTAATTTTGTTATGTTAAATTCCATTAATTAAAGAATGAGGGGAAACAATTATTAAGTCTTACAGTCTTACAGCAAAATTAAATTATATTTCCTAAATTAAATAAATCAGAGAATTAAATATCCTTCTTGACAAAAGTGGAATCTTGGGAATGTTATGCAAAGTTAAAACCACACTTCAGATTTTTTCCACAAGCAATTGAATTACATAACTTATTTGAATATTTTAAAATTAAATGATACAGATATTTATATTGTTACTTTACAAATAAATTCTTGTTTACTCTCAACAATCTAATTCACAATAGAAAATAAAGATTAGAACTTCTGTTTAAATCAAATAATTTAAGAACAAGAATGCAAAGCTTTATGGATGCTAGTTTCATATTTGATTATTTTTTGTAATTTTTTTAAGATAATTTATTAAATAATCTATAACTATAATAAGCTAAATTAAAATTCATTTACACAATATATTAAAACAATATTTGATTCCAATAAGGGTGAATATCAATAACTTTTTTTTTAATATTAATATACTTTTTAAAGCTAAAATACCAAAATTTCTTTTTACTAAATTCTTAATTTTATGCATTTCTAACTTTCAAAGAAACAATATACAGTCGACCCCCCTATAACACGGGTTCCTATAGTTTGGATTCCTATATCATGGTGAAAAAATTGCGACAGTATTCATACAAACATGCTAAAAAAACTCCTATAATTCGGTAAAACGTCATCACCAACTCGTGTCGTGACAGGATTGCACAAACCGTTGAGTTTAAACAAGTAGCGGACCTACTAAAAACCATTTATTATTTAACATCCATAAAAATTATATTTATATTAATGATGTCTCTAAAGTTCAGGAAATTTTTTGCAAAAAAATAATTTATTAGGAAGCACAGCGTAGTCGAACGGTGCACACTCGGTAAGTAATCCTACAATTTTTTGTTTATACCATAGTTTATATGAATTATTCTCAAAAGATTATACGTGTTTTCGAAATGTTGAGTCGAATTAGTCTAGAATCGATTAATTTTACGGAAAAAACCTTTTAAATAGCCGTAGTCATAAACTGCATACGTGCCGGGCTGTGATTGGCTAAACTTTTAGAAGCTGGATTCATATAAACAGGAACGTATCTACCGTGTTATAGGGAGGTCGACTGTACCAGTATGTTTAACAACGATCGATTATTTTTTGCGTAAGATAATTGACTGTGTAACAAAACTTTAATGACA